ACCTCGCTCCCCATCTGGGCTCCCCAGGCTTGTTTAAACCTTTCCCTCCTACCCCATGCCGCAGCTTCCCTGGCACCGAGGTCTAGCCAGTGGCTCTGGCCAACGCACTTGGCTCTCAGCAAGCTAAATGTAACCCAGCCCAGCTGTCTCTCCTCCCGCTACCGGTCCCCCGCACATGGATGTGTGCACACCCTTCCTGCCCCACGTGGGCCCCAGGAAGGGAGCAGAGAGGGGGACCAGAGCGGCCACTGTCCTCTGGGGCCCATGCTGCGCTCATGGTGGTACACAGAGCCCACTACAGGGCCAGCATGTGGCTGGTGCTCAGTAGGTACCAAGGGAAGAAGCAGGGAAGGCTTTCCATCAGTTAGGAGGGCCAGAAAGAGAGGAAAGTCTGCTGGCCTAGCAGCCCACTGGGGCTCAGGGCCCAGGCCAAGAGGGACAACATGCCAGGGATGTTACATCCAGCTGGCCTGACAGTGTGGTCACTCACCCCAGAGGGGTCCATGTTTCTGGGTCTGAGGAATGCCGGGAGCTGTCCACAGGCCTGGCCGCTGGGCCCTGGGGGTGCCAGCAGTCTCTCTTGGGTGAGGCCAGCAGGCAGGCCCTGTGACCAGTAGCCATCCGTAATCTGCTCTGAGCTTGTTTCAGACAGGGCATAACACATGCAGCTAAAGTGTGGCCGTCCTGCCCAGAGCGGCGTGGGACTAGGCTGTGGCCTGCGACATGCGAGGAGAAGTGCCTGGTGCACCTTTGGGGACGGGTCCTCAGAGGAAGCTGACTCATCCGGCGAGTGTGCCAGCCCAAAAGCTTTTCCTTCCTCCTCTGGCTAGATGGCAGGAGGTGACACACAAGATGAAAGGAAGCCCTGGGAGAGAGCTGTCAGGTGGGACCTGGCCTCTGAGGACTCAGCACCCACTGGCCGGGTCGCCTCGGGCCCTGGTCACAGGAGAGAGCGCATTTCCATCTCACGGGAGCCTGTTATTCTGGGCTTTCTCAGAAACGGAGCTCTAACCCTGAAGGGCGAGGAGACATTTGGCCCCAAACTTCCATCCAGAAAGCCAGAGGCCACTCCCTCCAGCTCTTGCAAGAGACTCCTGGGAAAGGCTCCCAGTTCCAGGGTCCTGGGTCTGCACCGGGCTCCCAGGCATCCCACCTGCCAGGGCGGGAAGGGGCCTGGGAGCCCTGTTTCCAGTTTTCCACCCCCTTGACTGTGGAGCCCTTTCCTCTAGAAACCTGAAGATCGACCAGAGAGCCCCCGGGACTGCGAAGGGCTTCCTCACCATGGGCAACAGGGCTGGCACAGAGCCAGCCCCAAACAAATGCCAGGGCCACCATGGAGCTCAGAAGTGATGGCCCACGTCCACCTATGAAAGTGTAATCTGGGGCCTGGCTGCTCGCCTCCCTCGCTCTCTGTGGGGACGGCTGGCATCACGGAGCAGACTGACCTCCACGTCACCTGCAGAGAGGGGAGCAGGGTGGGAGTGACCCCAGAAAGAGTCAGCTCTCAAAGCCGAAGCAGGGAGGAAGCTGTGGGGTAAAAAGTTTATAAGAGGAACACCATTTTTTTTTCTTTTGGCAGAATTTAATGGGTGCAGATTGTTCAGGTCCCAAATACATGGGGGGAAAAAGAACAAGAAGAAGCCCTTTGCTGCTGCTATTGATAACTTGTCTCTTCACGAGGCGGGTTCAAGCCTAAAAATACCCTCCTCCAACAACAGGGGAGCTGAGCTGTCACGCCGCAGACTTGAGAGCTGGGTGGGAGGGATCTGCCCCAGCCACGTGAGGCTGAGGCCAGGCCCCCGCGGCCAGGCCTCCTCTGGCTGTGTCCGTAGAGAATATTCTAGGGCATGCCCCAGAAGGGCGTGGCGAAGAGTGCTCTGCCAAGATCTGAGCCAGAGCTGGGACCAGGCTGCGGGGCTGGCTGGGTGGGGCTGCAACGGGGGCAGCGCCTTCCTGGTCACTAAGACCCAGTGGGTCTAATGGGGCTGCTCTGGGCCCAGGCCCAAACAAGGTGATGAATCCAGGCCAGAGGCCTGAGAGGAGGAAAGAGAATGTGGGGCAGAGGGCAGCAGGTTATGGGCAGGACTGCTCTGCTGCCCGCTGGGAGCCTGACTCTGGAAAGCTGCTTCTGCCCTCAGAGGCTCAGTTTGCCCATCCAGAATGGGGGCTGTCATACCTTCTCTGCCTGCCCACAGGAGAGGGCAGGAGGCAGGATGACGCAGGCTTGTGTGCCTAAGAGGCTATGGCTGCCCACAGGGACAGTGGGCACCCAAGGGCAGGCCAGGAGCAGGCCCTGGGTAAAGCATGGTATCCACTGACTATAGGGAAAAGGGACAGGTCCCCCCTCCTTAACTAAGAGGACAGAGGGAGGATCCTGGGAATTGGGTCAGAGAGCCCCACACTCCATGCTAAGCACTCAGGCCTGGCTTGGCTCCCGGTGTCCTCTCAAGACCGCAGAGGTCTGCTCATATGCTCACGGTCAAATTCAGAAGTTGGGACACTGATGTTGACTGGATGATCATCCCTGCTATGTGGGGGTGGGGCATGGGGCTCTGAGACTTGGCTTAGTCTCAGAGCATTTCAGGTGGGAGCACACCCCCTAAGCAGACCACTACATGCACAGAGGCTCCAAATGACCCCCCGACCAGCAAATCCCAGGCCCTTCCAGTGGCTGCCAGTGGGCCTGCTGTGGGCCAGGCAACCCCAGCCCAGTGGGAACGCCTGGGCATCTGCTTCAAGTGCAGGCTCTGGTGTGTGCTCTGGGCAGGGCTCTGCCTCTCCAGCAGCCTGGGGATGGGAACTGGCCCACAGGAGGTGCTATGCCTGGGGCCTGCAGGGCATTTCCTCATTGTGGGTCCAGGAGGTCCCAGTGACAATGCAGTGCCCACCAGACTGGCTGCCGCGAGGGGAAACCAGATGAAGCACATAAATCACGGGGCATTCAGCTGTCATTGTCCTCTGTTACCTTCACCCTTGCTTGGCATTATCCCCAGCCATCTCTGTCCTTTCCACTCCCTCCATCTCTTCCTAGAGAATTTTGCTTCTGGAATTGGCCTTAGAACCAGTGAAGACCCTAAAATACCCTCCAAAGTTGGTTCCCAGCACCCCCATCACAGACTGAGGGTGTTCACCTGGGCTGCCCCTGCCCAAACCTGGCTACACAGCAGCCAGTCCTTGGGGTCCAGCTATAGATCTGTTAAAGTGGGGGAAACCCATCCCTGCACCAAGCCATCTGAGGTCGGAGCCCACCCTTCCCCACAGCTGGGGTGAGATGATCAGGCTCAGCTGCACAGACATTTGTCTGAGGCGCCTAGAACTCCTGGTGGAGGGGTGGGCAGGCAGGTGAGCCCTTTAGGAGCATGCCCTTATGCAAGGGTCAGTCTTAGAGATTTAGGGGAAGGGGCTTGGAGGCTGGTGGGGAAGCTGGAGCCTGGTCAGCCTGGCCATCTCCTTGGCAACCAGCCTGTCCTTGTCCTGGCTTGGGGGCTGTGCCTGCACCCTTCCCTCTGCAGGCTGCAGTCTCTCTCTCTCTGTCTCTCTCTCTCTCTTTCTTTCTCTCTTCAGGGGTAACCATGGCAACGCCTTTGTTTCGGAGGCCCTCCCATCTCTCTTTTCAGAAGGGACGCAGGGGGCTCCTTCCTAGTCCCTAGCAGCCCAGCTGACAATGGACCCACCGGTGCACTGGGACAGCCCCTGGATGTAGAGCCAGAGAGGCGGCCTGGGCCCTGCCGCCCATCGAGGCCCCAGTATTTACAAGGGTGTGTGTCTGCCACAGGGCCACAGTCTGCAAGATCTGCCCTGCCTTGAGCTCCTCAGTCCTGCTAGGGGAGACCTGTGTGAGAACCCCCCTTGCCAGAGGCAGTGGAAGAGGCAGCACTGAGCAGGGCCTTCAAAATGAGCTGTGGGATCATGGTTGACTCTTCCAGGGTCTTGTGGTTGYAGGAGCCCAGTACCCTTTTGGCTCCACCTCAAAGTGGCTGTAGCAGAAAATCACATGCAGTTTTTCAGGTCACTGAATGGTACAGACTCCTGTGCTGCTCCAGGCACTGGGTGCTGTTGGCCCATGCATCTCAAGTGCCACGCTCCTCCGGCACACACCTCCATCAGTCGCCCCAGACGCAAATCTTTCTTTCATATAACTGGGTTCTGCAGAGGTCTGTAGGCAGATGAGAGCCACTTGGCTTCAGTCCCCCTCTGGTCTGAATTCTCTGCCACTGAGCCTCCTGGGCCAGAACAAGGCCACATGCCCACCCCTAAGCAGTTCATAGCCAGCCTGGTCAACCTCACTCTACTCATCTCAAACCAGACCCAAGACTCAAGTACAGGGACCCTGTTTGCCAAGGAAACTGGGTCCTCAGAGGCTCTGGAAAGACTACAAGCTCCAGGTGTGAATCCAGAGCTTCTGGGCGAAACTAAGGGCCGCAGGCCAGTGGGCTCCTGGAGGCTTTTTAAGGGGAGTGAGATGGCTAGGGTGGCAGATGGAGAGGTAAACATGCGTCAAATTTTTTTGAGCGAGGAGCGTCATGCAAAGGCAGGAGGACGATATTCAGCACTCGCTGGGTGCCTAGCATCTCTGGGAAATATCCCCTGGGTCTGTAACCCGGGTGGGGCCTCGCATTCTCCGGTCGCCTCAGTGCCCATGCCAAGACCACCCTACTCACTGTTTGCAAACCCGCCTCTCCAGAGGCCACGCCCCTCCCTCCTTCTCCCCCGCCCTTCTCGAGGCCATATTTGCATAACCCCGCCTATACAATGCGCTGATTGGCTGTTCACGCCGTCAATCTTCCTGGGGGCGGGACTTCGCGGGGCGGAGGGAGAGGCCGCCCCGGCGACGTGATCAGTGTCGTTCGGCCCCGGCGCGGCCTTCGGGCCGGRCGCTGATTGGGCCGGCGGCGGCCGACGCGGCGGCGCGGGGCGCGGCGAGTGGCGGCGCGGGCTGCCTGTCGCGGGGCGGCGGGCCGCACTTCCGCCTCGGTGTCAGCGGCCGCAGGCGGGGGCGGGGCGGCGGCGCGGCTCGGCGGCGGGCGGGCACGGCGCCGGGGTGAGTGCGGCGGACCGGGCCGGGCCGGGCCGGGCGGGGGCCGGGGTGAGTGCGGTCGCCGTGGACCCAGGCTGGGCCGCGGGCGCCGAGACACGCGAGTTGGGCGGCGGCCTCGAACGGTGCTGCGGCCTCCGCCTCCTACGGGCGCCGGGCCGCATCCGCCCGGCCCGCCCGCCGCAGCCAGGGGGTCCGGGGGTCCGGCCGGGCCCGGTGGAGCGGCTGGGCGGCCCCGCGGTCCCGGCCCGGCCTCCCGAGGTGCCGCCGGGCCGCCGCTTTGTTTCCGTCGGGCGGGGGCCGAGCTGGCCGCGCGGGCCGCTGAGAACTTTGTGCCGCGCGGGCCTCGGCAGTCTGGTTTCTAAGGTCCTTCCCTCCGCAGCGGAGTTTGGGACGCAGGGACGTGTCCTTGGACTGAGTAGTTCTGAGTTCAGACCAAGACTGGCAGGTGGTCCCGGGTGAACCGGACCGAGACCTTCGGGTACTCCTGAAGTCAGCCTTGCTGAGTGTACCTGGCCAGCAGGCGCGTGGTGGTGGTGCACAAGGGGATGTCACCCCCTTCAGGGTTTTGTTATGCCGGAGAGAGGACGGGCACTGGGCTGGGGACCAGCAGCTGTTGGGTTACACTCTTTTCAGGGACCTCCTTTGCACACTGGAGATGTGGTCTTCTTGAGTGGGGTTTGGCAGATACTTATTAAAGGCCAGTTGCAGACCTGGGTGGGTGCTGTGTGTGGCCTGGCATCCTGTTGAGGGGTCAGCTCAAAAGTGCAGATGCCCTGTGCAGTACCATATGTTAAGGGTCAAGGGTTCTCATGGCCCTTGATGCCTGGACAGAGGAGAGGCCTTCCTAACTGCAAGGGGGCATCTCCCTCTGGGCCTCAGTTCCCTCTGAGGCAGGTGACGTCTGCTTTGCTGGCTGCTTCAGCCTCAGGCACATAAGTGCTCCCAGGTGTCAGTTCCCTTTCCCTTGCTGGGACAGGAGCCTAGAGAACCTGAAGATGGTACTTCCTCCCTTGCAGCACAGTGCCTCCCATGGTGTTGTCACTTAGAACATGACTAGACAAGGTGGCCGGATCTGCTCAGAATTCACCTTGTTTGCCTTGCAGGTTCTTCTGTTAGGAACGGCTCTTATCTGGAAGGATGATGGTATTTAACAACGTTTGCCTCAGATCATTGTGAGCCTCTGTGTCTCACAGCGATCTGCTAGACAGGCACTGACATCATCCTTAGTCCATTGGTGAGGAAGCTGAGGAACATAGCTTACTCTAGCCCACACAGCAGTAAAGTATAGAGCAGGGGTTTGAGCCCAGGCAGTGTGGCTCTGGGGTTCAATTTTTTCCCTTGTGGTACTGGGATCAAGCCCTGGCCTTGTGCATATTAGGCATCTGCTCTGTCACTGAGCTACATCTCTAGCCCTGAGTTCCCATTCTCACACAGAGCCCATGCTGCTGTTTCAGACTGATCTGTTTGACAGACTCACTGAAGACATTCCAGTCGTACTGTTACTGTGTCAGACTTTGTCTCCTGTAGCACATGTAACAGGTTTTCATTTTTTTGTGAGCCTGAGTGTTTATAAAATCATTTTGTTTCTTGTTAAATAAAGTCATTCTACGTTTGGCCATCCAGGATCTTGCTGCAATGCCCACCTGCTGCACAGTGCCTTTGTTACTAGTGAAGTTGTCGATGTTAGTCCTGGAAGGGGGTGCAGGTGTGGATGCAGTTTAAAGAGTGAGGGTTTGCTTTCAGGTAGGTCTGCATGAGCTTCAGGCAGTCAGTGTTACATTTTCTTTCCTCCTTCCAAGTGCATGCAGAGACTTGGGCTTTCCATCTTAACAAGCAATGTTCTTTAATGTTTAGAGAGTGCCACTTGACTCTCAGCTTGTCTTCTCCACAATTCTGGCAGTGCTAGCAAATGAGTCTTAGATAGTTCTTAAAACTTCCCAGCGGCTCAGGAGGCTGAGGCAGGAGGATCACTGGTTCAAAGCCAGCCTCAGGAACTTAGCAAGGCCCTGTCTCAAAATAAAAAGGATTGGGGATGTGGCTCAGTGGTAAAGTGCCCTTGGGTTCAATCCTGGGTACCAAAAAACAAAACAACTTGATTGACTTTCAAGTCTCCTTGCATTTGGCTAATTGAAATTATGGTGTTCTTTATTTCGATAAGGATGTTTTTGTGCTCTCTGTAAAGAGGGAGAGAAGCTGGTGTCAGTCATCTTGCTGTGGCAGTGGAAGGGTGCCTGGGGTAGATGCATTGGTGATTTTGCTGGGATGGAGCTGACATTGTGTTCGTGAGTGCAGCATCTTAGAGTTGTGGGGGGACCTGGGGAAGCTCACACTGGGCCTCCGGGCCACCATTTGCTCTGGCCTCTAGTCTTTGCTTGTGAAATAGGTTATTGTGTTCTGTTTGAAACAAGTTACCATGGCATCAGGAACCGTCAAGTGAGGTCCGATGTGGGAAAAGATCCCTGAGTACCGAGGCTGTCCCAGTCATTACTGTACTTCTGTCTGGTGGGTGCAGACTCCTTTTTTTTTTTTTTTTAAAGAGAGAGAGAGAAGTTTTTTAATATTTATTTTTCAGTTTTCGGTGGACACAATATCTTTATTTTTATTTTATGTGGTGCTGATGATCGAACCCAGCGCCCCACGCATGCCAGGCAAGCGCGTTACTGCTTGAGCCACATCCCCAGCCCTGAGACTTCTGATTTAGTTTGCAGCACTGTGAAGGGTAAAGTTCAGTTCCAAAACTTAGTGTATTTTATGGCTGATTTATAACCTTTTCAAGACTGAAAGTATTTGAATGTGACTACTAAAAACACTTAAATCCTAAGAGTATTTTAGGTTCTAATTTGACATGAGTGCAGTTTCCTACAGTAAGTAATTTGTTGCTGTGATTTTTTTGCGAGGAAGTTTCATCTCTGGGTGTCCCTGCTGGTTGGGCTCAAGTCCCGATGTGGGAGTGAGTCTCCCATAGGCCCCTACTTGGCTCTTATTAATAGACGTGATTAAATGGTTCATTGTGCTTCGTGAACTTTATGACACTTCCCTTTCCTTCAGAAAAGAACATGGGATAACTTGATAGAATTTCAAAGCATGCAGGTCAGAGCGTCTGGTAGCACAAACACTACTGTCTCTGAGTTGGGCTCAGTAGTGGAGATGACCTCCAGAAGGGACCAGATTCAAGAATGCATGTGTATGGACTGTGCTCGGKGTGTGTGTGTGTGTGTGTGTGTGTGTGTGTGTGTGGTATAGGATTGAACCCAGGGGTACTCTACCACTGAGCCACACCCCCAGTCCTTTTTATTGTTTATTTTGGGACAGGGTCTTGCCCAAGCTGGCCTGGAACTTGCATCCTCCTGCACAGTCTCCTGGGTTGCCTGGTGTTTTGTGCGTCTTTTCCTCTTTGCTTACCTTCTCTCTTTTTCTTTTTCTTTTCTTTTTTTAAGCAGCATACCTGTTTGGTTAATTTTGAGAAACATACTCTGGGCTTCGAAGCCCAGCCTGAGAAATTCTGGTGTAGTTGGGAAGGGTGCCCACCTGTTGTGGACTGATAATGCCTGGCCCCGGCCTGGGCCTGCTGGCCTGGTATTGGGGTCTGGGGCTCTGTCCCTGATGCTGAGGCATGTCTGGGAGGGTCCCAGGGGCTCTTGGTTGGTCTCTGAACACAGGCCCTAAGCTCAGACCTCCCCATGGGTGGTGCTCAGACAGCAGTTGTTCCAGGTGGCATGGGGTGCTCTTGGGGAACATGACAGGGAGGAGGAGGGTCTTGGGGAGGCTGTTCCGTAATATGCAGAGGCAGTTGTGGGAGGAATGRCAGTGCTGGCGTGCAGGTACACAGCTGGCTGGGTTCACTGAATCAAGGAAAGCCGGGTCAAGGGCTGCTCGTGCGACAGGGCCAGCTGGTGCCACTGTGCTCGACCAGAAATGATGTCTATTGCCGTTTAAAACTGAAGTGAATGTCTGATCTGGTGGCCAGGCCAGAACACCCTGGAGAAGGGAAAGGACAGCATTGACGGCAGCAGGTGTCAGACGTGAGCTGGGGCATGGAGTCATCCCAGGAACGGTGGGTGTCCTCACTCCTGAGTGTGCGCTGGCACAGCAGCCTTTGCCAGTGACCTGTGGCAGAACCAGTAGGGTTCATAGTTACTGTCGCCCTGAGAGGTGTCAGGCAGGTCGGGGAGACAGGAAGGAGGGAGAGGGGCCCTGGGGCTGTGGTACTGGCTCCAGCTCTGCAGCAGGCTGGCTGGGCCTTGGTGGACAGCTCCTGAGTCAGTGTGGGAGGCTGTCATCTGGCTTCTCATCAGGAAACCGAGGAACTGTGTAGCAAGTGTAGGTGCCCAGCCAGGCAGCTGCAAGCCCAGGCTTCCTGTGGTTATGTGGCCGTGGCTTGTCTGCAGAGAGTTCCAGGCAGTCCTGGGACCTCTGGTTGTACAGTCCTGGGACCTCTGGTTGCACAGTCCTGGGACCTCTGGTTGGGTCAGAACCCTTTTTGGATCAAGGCCCCTTTGATAAATTGATGAATAGTCTGAGTCATCTTTCGGGGGGAGAAAAAAAATCACCAACAGAATTTAGCAGTTTTTTCTTTTTTTAAGGTAAACAGGATTTATTTATTTATTTATTTATTTTAAAGTGAGAATTTTAATATTTATTTATTTATTTGAGAGAGAGAGAGAGAGAGAGAATTAATATTTAGTTAGTTAGTTAGTTATTGGCGGACACAACATCTTTGTTTGTATGTGGTGCTGAGGATCGAACCCGGGCCGCATGCATGCCAGGTGAGCACGCTACCGCTTGAGCCACATCCCCAGCCCTCTTTTTTCTTGATTGGAGGCGTGCGGTGGTGGGGAGATTTGTGGGTTTCCCTGACCTTGGTCTGAACACCAGCCCTGAAGTGCTCAGGAAGTACAGCTGGGCGAGACTTGGGCAGGGCTGATGTTAGGATGATAAGTTTCTCAACACAGTAAAACCGGTCAGGGGACCAGCAGTGTGGAGTTGGGCAAGATAACAAGAAGGGCCTGGATGGAGGCCATAGAGAGAGAAGCTGACGAAAGGGCAAGGGTGTCCAGGAGCCCTGCAGGACAGCAGCCTTTCACCTGGTCACGGGCTTGGAGGTGTGCAGTGGCTGCTGGGGCAGAGCTGCACATGAACAGTCCTGTGAGGGGCAGACTGACTGAGTCTGCCTGCTGCGCTCAGTGAGGGAGGGCTGAGGTGCCGTCCAGAGCCATGCAGCCACTCCCTCGGGCACGTTTGGATGGCTTTTCCTGTTGCATGATGATGAGGTTGACCAAAGCAGACACGTGTGGAGGAAGAGCTGTGCTCACCTGTGTGTGGACAACCTGCGCTGGATCGGAAGCGGGGACACGCTCTGGCACCTGCTCTTCAGTACCGAGCAGTTCGATCAAGTTGGGGACAGCATTCGAGGGACTCTGGCATGGACAGTGGTCTTAAGACTCCCCTCAGGGCCAGCTGCTGCCCGGGAACCCTGCTGGGCTGGCCCTTTGCCTGCCTCCGCAAGGCCACACTGCAGATGTGGAACACGGTGGGCCGCGGGCGAGTGGTGCAGTGTTTCCCTTCCTGTTTCTTGTGAGAATCCAAGTCCCTGTTGGTGGCTGATCAGCTTGCCTGGCTGGTGCCTTCAGTTAGCAGGCGGCCACTTTTGTGTCCGCACCTGTTTCTTASTGTGGAGAGCTGACGTCTGGCCTGCAGTCAGGCAGCCCACTCGGTGAGGAGCCAATACAGCTCCTGACTGGGAAGACCACCCTAGACATGGCCAGGCAGAGCCAGAGAGCCTGGCTTGTGTTTGTCCTGCCCAGAGGAAAGAGCAGTATCATGGCACTTCTCACGCATTTGGACTTAACTATGTTTAGCCTATGGATAAGGGACAGGTGTTCAGAAAAGTTCACTCAGTTCTTCACCCCGCTCACCCGCCTGACTCCAGGACTCAGTGTGCTCGGCAGAGCGGTGCCACGTGCGGTCTCAGCAGTGGTGATCTGTTGCCAACCACACACACACGCCTTTGAAAAAAGATTGTGTTGTGACCGAGCAGGGATTGTTTATGGGATCCTCCATTTATACAATTTCTGTAAAAATCATCACTAAGCTTTCCCAGCAATGGACTTCCCAGGCCCCCTCCTTCCCAGGCCCCAGAGTGCTACAGTGAGCCGAGGGGCGGGAGCCTAGGCAGGTTTGGAGTGAGGATGAAGGCCGCTGGCCTGACTGTCCTCTGTCACATCCTGTCACACGCACTGGTCTTGAGGCCGTCGGTGTGGGTGGCATGCTGAGCAGCCCTGCTGCCACCTCCTGGCACAGGCCTGTATGTCAGTGGGTCTGGGAAGTCCCCTGCTCCAGTTGCTGCCTGGCTTTTTTCCTCCTGCCTTTTGGGGCCACTGAACCATCTGTGGCTGACCTCAGCACTCAGGAGGAGACACTGTGGTGGCGAGCCGTGCTGCGGCAAGGCTGTTGGCATCCTGGTGCAGGATGGTGCCGAGGCGAGCCCAGGTGTGGGTGTGTCTGCACAGAGTGTCTTGTTGTACTGCTCGTGTGCTTTAAAGTTATGGAATAGACGTGTGCTATTTGGAATAATTTAAATTTAGAACTAATATTTAGCCTCAAACGTGACTTTCGCACATTTACATTGTTTGTATTCTTGTCTGGCATGAGAATTCTTCCAGGTTGCCTCACTTGCCTGCTTTTGATAGAGTAGAATCCTCACAGGATTGGGCTTCTTAGTGATTGACAATGGTGGTCACTGGTCCCTGGCTCTTTTTTATTTTCGTACTGGGGATTGAAACCAGGGGTTTAACCACTGAGCCACACCCCCCAGTCCTTTTTATTTTTTATTTTGAGACTGGGTCTCACTGAGTTGCTGAGGCTGGCTTTGAACTTCAATTCTCCTGCCTCAGCCTCCCGGGTCACTGGGATTACAGGCATGGCCACAATGCCTGGCTGGCCCCTGGCTCTTGCTCACTCACTGCCCAACTGCTGGATCTGCTTCTGTCAGGACAGTGTGAGGCTGCCTCTGTCAGGCTGCAGGGTGAGCATTCATAAGGTGCTGGGACATTTGGGGCTTGGTTGGGCCACATACTGGTAGGAGACGGTCAGCAGAGCGGGCACCTTCAAGAGGTTACAGTGGTGGCAATTTGCAAGGGGGTGGGCATTTTGTGGGAGAGAGTGGGAACAGTGGTGGTGTGGCTGCAGTGAGGGTGGGCTTGGGGACCAGGTGGAAGGAAGAAGCCCCCTTCCCTGGCTAGAGTGGCCCCTGGGGAGGGACAAGGATAGGAGGACACCCTTGCAAGTTTCCTGTTTTTTCTGTGGACCTAGAAGAGGATAATGCTGACCAGAAAGAGCTGACTAAAGAAAAACACAACCCTGCAGCCCTTTGCCGAGGCGCTGTCCTGCGGGTTGTTTCTGAAAGGGAGCTGGAGCTCATGGCGCACTCCAGAGCCGCTGGCTGGCTTCCCAGCTGCTCACCCCACATCCTCAGCTTTGCAGAGGGTGAGCCCTGGGGCCARTCTTTCCTTCCCCAGCTGCAGAGCCTCCACTCTGGGTGCTGAACCATTGAGCCACAGCCCCCAGCCACCTGTGGTGTTCTGGCCAGACTCAGGGGGTCAGGAATCAGAGATACCCCAGATCTCTGAGCTTCTGGGCAGCTGAGGCCTGTGTGCTGAGCCAGGCCTCCGAGAAGTCCAGGGGTGGGTAGCTGTGAAGAAGGACTGAGGACCAGCTGGGGTGGGTAGTCTACTTGGCTGGCCCAGGGCCTCTATGGACTCTCTGTCGTTTCTCAGGGCCCAGCCAGTAGAGGCTTCCCAGGAGTGTGCCATGCTCCTGCCCAGGGCCCATGGGCTTCCATCTCCTGAGGGTGAGGAAGCTACAGGGGCCTGGCCTGTGGCAGTTGGTGGTCTGCGCCCCTCATGGGGCCTGGTGACGTGAAGAAGGCATGGAACACCTGCTGGTAGGTGCATCCTTTGCTGGCAGCCACAGGCAGAGCATCTGGACTGCCTGGGAAGCCTGTAGGGGAAGGCCTCCGAGGCCCATGGTCACTGCTGAACCCTGTGGTCCACGTGCCGCAGCAATACCAGTGTCGCCATAGTATGGGTAGCAGAGTAGCATCTTACACCTTCATTCAAAAACTTTCCATAAGTTTCAATTGATTTACCTCTAACATTAGGACTTTTTTGGTTCTGGGGTTTGATCCCTAGGCCTCACCCAGGCTAAGCAGATGTTTTACCACTGAGTTACATCCTAGTTTCTTTTTTTTTTTCTTCTTTCAGTTTTTCACATAGGATCTCGCTAAGTTGCCCAGGCTGGTCTGGAACTTGCCATCCTCCTGCCTTAGCTTCCTGAGACCCTGGGATGACAGGTGTGGCTGCCGCCCCTGACAATGTGCATTTCCTTGTTTGAATCCCGATGTTTGTTGATATCTTTTTTAGGTAGCTTTTTGAAGGTGTAGTTGCATGTAAACAAACTGCAGGTTTGAGGCACACAGTCAGACGTCATGCACCCCATGATGTGCGTAACGGCTTCACATGCGCGTGGTCCTGTGTGCAAGCTGGAGAAGCCAGGCTCAGCCAGGACAGTGGCGCTCTCCCTAGTGTTCTGTGCTCTTTCCTTCACGGCTTGTTTGCTGGAAGACCCGCTCTGTGCTCTAAGGCTGAGGAGTGGGTGCTGCCGATTGTGTTTCCTGGTGTGCTTGACAGGATCCTGTTCTCACTTCCATGTGTTGGTAGGCAAAGGGTCCAAACCCAGAGCTGGCACTCTTGGCAGGGTGGCAGGGAACCCCCAGGTTTGAGGGCAAGGTGGCAGGCCCTGTGGGCCTGGGGCTTTCCCAACCGGCATTGTCTGAGCGTCCTCATTGACTCACTGATGTCCTTCTAAAGAGCAAAGTCCCCAAAGCTATTACTGGGTTATTTTGACACAGTTTTCCATTTATTTATAGCCGCTTGGTTCTAGCTTCTGATGACTTTGAGCAGAACTTCCTGAGATGTGCTGGAGCCTGATGGCCTCACGTAGCTCGTCCTCTCGAGCCTTCTGCGCCTTCCCAGAGCAGTGTTTTATGTCTGCCTGTACACGTGGATGACGATTTTCAAACGTACCCCTTAAAGTAGCAGTCACCTATTGACCTGTCACCTTCCGTCTTCCGGCAGGGAGTGCTCCCTCTCCCTGATACTGTTGGAAGAGTTGTGTGTCTGTGGTGGGGTCGCGTGCTTTGTGTCTTTCCTCACAATGGTTGAGATTGATTTCTAGAGTGCTGAACAGCTATTTAAATTTGTTTTGAAACTACATCTTTCTAGAAGCTAAGTATGCCAACATATTTCTCCCCTCAGATCTCCTGTGTCTGCTGGGTTTTTACCAAGAAGTCTGTAGCGCAGAGTTGCTTGTGCTGTGGATGTAGCTCAGCTAAGATGATCCAGTAGGAAGAGCACACCCCAGCAGTGACGGAGCCTGGCCACTGAAGGATGAACGGGGAGGAAGAGTTCTTTGATGCCGTCACAGGTGAGTTGAAAGAAAAAATGGCTCAGAAACCACAGGGTGTGCAGGCATCTGTGGGATCCAGAGGGTGGGTCTGGCCTTTGGGAGGTGGTCTGGCATGTTCCGGAGGCCGGAGACCCGCTCTTAGGAAACACGTGGTATTCTGTCTCAGACGTGGGAAACTTGGACTTTGAGTCTTGGGAGACAGCGTGGCAGCGCAGTGGGGTGTGAAGTCTTTGGAAGAGCTTCCTGGTGATAGTGGTTTTCTTTGGAACTGGAATGAGGCAGTCAGTCTTTTAATGTTATTTATGCTTAATGATCAAAAACTGCTGGCGTCATGAGCACGTCTGGCTTTGAGCTGCTCGGAGTGTGCCACAGAGCAGCCCCCTGCTCTCCAGAGGCTCTCCTGGCCACTCAGGTCAGCTGCGTGTGGAGTGACAGCCTTATGTTCATCCCCTTCCTCTGTCGCTTGGGTCAGCGGGAATGTCACCCCATCCTTTCTGTGAAGGTCTACTGCCAATGGGGAGGGACTTCGACCTCAGCTAAGAACACAAACACAATGGCGGGAGGACGGAGCAGGCCAGGTTGTGGCTGTAGTCCCTAGAAGCTCTGTGAGGCTACCACCTACAGGGGTCACCCTGGTGGAAGCAACTACCCCAGCCTGGCTGAGGCCTCTGCCGTGCCTTGTCCTCGTGCACCCTGGGCTCCGTGGAGGTGGCAGCCGACCATGCTGTGCTCCTGCATCTGGCAGCCAGTTGTTTAGGGCCTCACTGAGCCTATGCTGAGGCTGGCCTTGAACTTGCAATCCTCCTGCCTCAGCCTTCCAAGTCTCTGGGATTACAGGTGTGTGCCACCAAGCTTGGCTTGACTTGCTCTCATCTAAAACCTTTGGAAAAAGGGACACTGAGCTGCTTAACATCTTCCAAGGTGAAATTGTGGTCATTTTTCTTAATTTTGTGGCTGAAATTGCCTGTTGCGTGTGCTCCTGGAGATGTGCTCCAGGCCCTTCGGCCTGCACTCCCTTCCGCCGTCCTCCGGGGCAAAGTCCCTCTCTGCAGAGGGGTCACTGGGCTGTCACACCTGCTCGCTACCTGGCCCTCCCCTGGGAAGCTGTGCCTGTCACAGAGAGGCTGACTTGGTGTCCCTCCTCACCCAGGAGTTTCTTGGGAAGTCCCCACACCTTAGGACACATATAGCCAAGATCCTCTGAATGCTTCTGAGCTCTTCTGTAGTCTGTCTCATTTCCCCAGAAACAGCATCAGTCCCATGTGAGGCTGAATGGTTCCTCCCTCCCTGTGGCACAGCAGCTCAGAGGCTGCTCCACAGCAGTGTTTCTCTGTGTGTCCCCACGTTGAGTGGCCCATGACCTTGATTGCTTGAGAGGCAGACTTAATTATTCCAAATGTATCACTTAAAAGCTGTATAAGAGGGGCTGGGGATGTGGCTCAAGCGGTAGCACGCTCGCCTGGCATGCATGCGGCCCGGGTTCGATCCTCAGCACCACATACCAACAAAGATGTTGTGTCCACCAAAAACTAAATAAATATTTAAAAATTCTCTCTCTCTCTCTCTCTCTTTGAAAAAAAAAAAAAAAAGCTGTATAAGAGGAGCTGGGCATGGTGAGCTAGGCATGGTGGCTCACACCTCATCCCAGCAACTCAGGAGGCTGAGGCAGGAGGGTCTCATGTTCGAGGCCAGCCTCAGCAACTTAATGAGATCCTGTCTCAAAAGAAAAAGTAAAAAGGGCTGCGATGTGGCTCATGGTAGAGCCCTTGGGTTCAATCCCCAGTACCAAAGAAAAAAGGAAGACCCATAAAAGCCCCTCTGGGTGGCTGGGTTACAGCTCAGTGGCAGAGCACTTGTGTAGCTGGTGCAAGGCCCTGGGTTAATCCCCAGCTCTGGGAAAACAAAACACAAAACCTGTAAGCTGCTGGTGGTGTGCTAGTGGGGGCGGGATCTGGGGCGTGGCTTGCCCATCCTCCACATCCACATCCATCCAAATGACCCTTCTGCTTGTCTTGCACAGGCTTTGATTCTGATAACTCTTCTGGGGAATTTTCAGAGGCAAATCAGAAGGTCACGGGGAGGATCGACTTGGACTCCAGCAACAGCTCAAGGACTGGGAAAAGTGGGGAGAGGCCCCCTCGAGAGAATGGGGTCCAGAAGCACAGGTATGTGGTCTCCGTGCACTGTTTCAGAGTTGTCCACAGTGTGTCTCGTCCTTCCCAGAACTCGCCACAGTGCCCCCATGGGTGTCATGGGGGTCCAGCCAGAGGGGCAGCCCACCTGCCGGCTCTGGGCCTTCCTCCAGTAGGAAGGCTGCTGCTGACTGGCCAGCCTGTGCCGCAGAGGCATGACACCTCTCTGCCTGSTCCTGGAGACCAGAGGACAACAGTGTTTGACCAGTGGTCCCTTCCAGTGGAGTCCTTGCCCAGGATCCACGTGGCCTGGCGTTACTTGGGCCTTGCTGACTTCCTCTTGTCTGTGTCCTGCTGAGCTACATTGGCTGGTATCCCCATGGSGACAGCAGGGGCTTGGTCACTGGCTGTGTTCAGGACCATATTTCACCCTCCTGCCAACACATTCATGTTTGCACAGTGGTTCTGGGGCCAGCGGCCCTCACCAGCAGGCTTCAGTGCCTCAGGAGAGGCGAGACCCTGGGTAGATAGCAGTGGGTCCTGAGGCATGCTGACGACAGGGCCTCCAGCCTCACCCTGGCCTCTTTTCTGAGCGTGCCCCAGGTGCCTCCCTCTCTTCACCCTTCATTTGTGCGCTCAGCTGTCAGTAGGGCGCCTCTGCTGCGCTGGGTGTCAGAGCAGCCATACCCTCTGCACCGYGCCCTGTGGCCATTCTCCAGCAGTTAGCCCGATGCTCTTGCTCCCTGCCTCAGACACCCTGTGCTGATACTTTGGCCTCTTTAGATGCATCCTGGCCCCTCAGTTCGCCTGCCTCTGCTGTGCCAGTCCACTTGGTACACCTCTTACACCTCTCATCTCTTCCTGCCATGTGCAGCAGCACTTCTCAAAGTCAGACCTAAAGGCACCACCCCCGCCTTCTGCCTCCCTTCAGCTCACGCCACATGGTCCTGAGTGGCTCAGAACAGCAGCCCTTTGCCTGTGGACTGTCTTCTCTGGACACTGGTGCTCTCAGCGTGAGGGCCAGCATCCTCCCACCTCCTGTCCTCAGGCTGGCGGTGCGCTGCTCCAGCTCTGCTCCTCGGGCCCCACGCACAGGGTCCTTTTTTGTGGTCTTGGGTCCATCTAGCCCTGCCCTTGCCTGACGGGTGTCCACTCTGCTCTTGGCTTAGGCCCTCCCCTCCCCTGCATGTCTCAGTTCCCGTTCTTCATCCCCATCTCACAAGGGCTCCTGTCCCTGGGCATGCTCTGACCCGTGCAGCATGTGCCCCTCCTGTGGGGCCCTCACTGCGTGCCGTGCCGTGCCGTGCCGCGGCTGCTGGTCATGAGCTCAGAGGGGCGATGAGGGGCCAGCTTCCAGTGGCCTGGCCACCGGGCCCAGTCGGCCTTGGTTTCCATTTCCTTTTTGCCTCACAGTTGCTCCTCCTTCTTCCTCTTTTTTTTTTTTTAATATTTATTTTTTAGATGTAGTTGGACATGATACCTTTATTTATTTGTTTGTTTATTTATTTACTTAAAAAAATTTTCTTAGATGTCCATGAGCCTTTATTTTGTTTATTTATTTATATGCGGTGCTGGGAATCCAACCCAGGGCCTCACACTGCTAGGCAAGTGCTCTCCCACTGAGCTAAACCCCAGCCCTATTTTATCTATGTGTGTGTGGTGCTGAGGAACCCAGGGCCTCATGCGAGCCAGACGAGTGCTCTACCGCTGAGCCACTACCCCAACCCATAATAAGCAGTGTGCCCTAAAAGAGCTGCCCAATGTGCCTTCCCCGGGCCACCGTGGGCGAGGACTGGGTCCTGGAGACCAGAGGACAACAGTGTTTGACCAGTGGTCCCTTCCAGTGGAGTCCTTGCCTGAGGGCTGGGGCCCCCGTTGGGATTCCTCTGCTCCTTCAGAGCAGCCACCATGAAATGGGAACTTCACGAAAGAATGCTGGGGTGGCCCCTTGGGGCTGAGGGTGGTGGCAGGGTCCCCAGGCGTGCTCCCTGGCACCTCTTTGTGCCCGTACTGTGGCGCACCCTGCCTGAGGCATGCGGCTACCCAGCATTCAAAGGCAGTTCCCACAGGTGGAGACGGGCACATCAGCTCGCATCCTGAGAGGGCCACCCGTGAGCAAGAGCTGGGTTAAAGACGGGGGTGCAGGTGTGACAGCTGGCCCATCTGGCTGGGGGACATTGGGAGGCAGGCACCTTGGCGGTTGCTGAAGGCGGGGACTCGGCTGGCTTCTGGAGAGGTTTCCTCAATGCCATCCATGCCCAGTGGCCTCACTTCTGTTCCTTATCCTGCAGCCACCTCTTGAGGATGGGCTGGAGACCCTGAGTGGGCAGCAGAGCTGCTGACGGGGTCCCTAGTTGTCACTTGCCCCCTGCCTTGAGAAGGAAGCCATACCTGCCACTGCAGGGTCAGGGTCAGGACTCTAAAGGTGACACAACCACCCTCCGGAGGCCTCCAGCACAGCAGGGCAGGAGCCTCCCTGAGGCTGGGGCAGCAGCCGGGCCCCTCCCCTGGGTCTGCCAGAGCTCGAGGCTCACATCAGGTCTGAAGGTGCAGGGTGGTCGTGGAGCAGCTGTCCTGGGAAAGGGCCCTCCCCCGAGTAACAAGTGCCATCCGCCATTTGCTTCTCACAGGACAGCACTGCCTGCCCCCATGTTCACCAGAAGTGACTTCAGCGTGTGGAGCATACTGAAGAAGTGCATCGGCCTGGTGAGCCTGGGTTGCAGCAGGAAGCCTGGGCGTGCGGGTCCCTGTGGTGGCCGCCTCTGTGGGGCAGGGCAGGGGCTGCTGTGGGCTCTTCCCATTACAGAGGAGGTCCTTCCAGGTTGCAGGCAGCCTTTGTCAGGGTCTCAGGACTTGTAACAGGAAAACTGAAAACTGGTGGGACGGTCAGAGCGTCCATATGCTGTGGACTTTGCTGTGACCTTGGCTGCCTGTCGGAGTCTGGCGCGTCCTGGGGCTCTGGCCTGCCCTGCGTTGGCWGCGCCCGCGATGGGAGCCTGGGGCTGAGGCCACAGGCGCACGCCTTCCTCAGCTCCAAGTGCACTCGGTTCCTGAGATACGTCAGTTTCTTTCACTGTTGTCCATTTTAGTCCTTTTTCCTCCAGAGGAAGCTTCATCTTTGTACTCAGTTTTTTACTTGGAAGTGATGTGAGGCTCATAGAAAGTTACAGGACGGTGCAGGGCACCCTCCCATCCTGGCAGCCCCTGGCGCTGGCTCGGAGCGCAGCTGCCGTGCGGTGATGAGAACGAGGGCTCTCTGGTGGTGAAGCTCTGCCAGACTGCGCGCTCCGCGGGCTTCCTGCTTTTTATGAGGTTCCACTTCTGGACCCTCTCTGGGATCCCTGGTAGCATTTGGCCATCACATCTCCTTTGTGCCCTTCACTACAGAATGAATGACTTTGACGCCTTGCAGGCTACTGGCCCACTGTTTGGCAGAGTGATCCTCAATTTAGGTTTGTCTGGCATTTTCCTGTGATGAGACTGAGGTTCTGCACTTTCTGCAGGAACACACAGAGGCCAGGGGCCCTCAGTCCCTTGTCTGAGGCTGTGCGTTGTCCACTCCTCTTACTGGGGATGTTAACCTTGAACACTTGATCCTAGTGTCTACTGCACAATTGCTGCGAGGGTATCTGGTTCTCCCCTGGGTAATCATGCCCTGAGGGAATCAGATAGGTTCATTTATTTCATTTTAATGTTTAGAGATTGCTTTTATGCATTTAATTTAGTTTTAAAATATGGGTCCAAAGTCAGATATACTTAATGAGATATACAAAGTAGTCTGTTTTGTGTTGTCAGTAACATAATATCACAGACTAGAAAAGTTATAAAGAAAAGAGGTTTATTTTTGCTCAAACTTCTGAAGTTTCAAGGTTGAGGGCGTCTGGTGATGGAGTCCCAAGGCTGTGCAGGCATCACATGGTGGAAGACAGAGAGTGTGCACACACACACACTTGTGTGTATATGTGAATGAGCATTTGTACCTCTTGTGGTCTCTCTTCCTGGGTTTGGTTTGGTTTTTTTTTTTTTTTTTTTTTTTTTGGTTCTGTGGGTGGAATCCAGTAGTGCTCTGCCACTGAGCCACGCCCCAGTTCTTTTTATTTTTAATTTTGAGAAGGCCTCCCTAAGGTGCTGAGGCTGGCCTGGAACTTGTAATCCTTTATCTCAGTCTCCAAGTTGCCGGAATGATAGGTGTGGCCACCTTGCCTGGCCCCTGTTCCTACATGGCTGCCCAGATTTAGTCAGGGGGCTCCACCCCAACACCCTGCCCAGAGACACCATAGTGACACACGTGACAGTCCCCACATCACATGAAGCCTAGGGGACTCTGACCACATTCCTGCAGGTAGGCTGGCCCTGCCCACAAGGTGCCCCATGCTGCACACCCCAGTGGGCCCAGACCCCCAGCGGCTTCACATGCCCCAGGCCCCCACATGCCCCAGGCCCCCACCTCTCCCAGTCCCCCACCTCTGCCCCTTGGCAGGCAGACAAGGCCTTTCTCTAGCATCCTGGTGGTGATGGAAGAGAGACAGCACCTCTGCCTGGGCCCTCACCTCTGCCCTCACTCTGCAGAAGGCCCTACCAGGTGTCTAGTGCCTGCCTCGTGTCCCACAAGGAATGTGGCTCTGCTCTTGAATACCTGGCACTTCTGGTCTTCAGTTGATCGAGCAGGTCTCGGTGACTGGCCCTGAACATGGGTCTGCTGAGGCACTGGACAGATTCCCAGGAATGGGGTTGCTGGCCACAGGACCCTGCCTGTGGGATTTTGCTGGATACCACCTGATTATGACCCCGCCCTCCACCTGAGCAAGACCAGCCTTCTCCTGCCTAGGCCCTCTGCCCTTCTCCTGTCACTGTCAGCCTCCCTGGCCTGCACCTTGGGGTCTGGCTGTGGCGGGTTCTGAGGTGTGTAGCAGGGATGTGAGCCTGGCCAGGTGCAGACCTTCAGTGTTTCCTCCCCTTCCCGTCCTCCCCCTTCTCACCTGCTCTCTCAGGTCTCTTCCACTTGCTCCTAAGGGGGTGAGTACAGCATCGCAAGCTGCTATTCTTCCTGCCTTTGTGTGCAGGCAGCTCCCTCGTGTGGTCTCAGCTAACCTGTGTGCCAGAGTGGCCTCTGCCATAACTCCAGCCCCACCCTCCTGAGTGTCCCCAAGTTCCCAGTGTTTACGAGTGTCCACAGCCTGAGGAGCATCCTCGCTGTCCTGGCTCTGGGGCTGTCCCTGCCCTTTGTGCTTAGGCTTGGCCTGCAGGGTCTTCCTGGACCAGGCTGCAAGCAGAGCCCTGCCCTTTACCAGGATGTCATGTCCCAGGTGTCGCCTGACAGGCCTGTCTTGGTGGCACTGTGCCAAGCACGATGCCTGCCCCAGGTGTTCTGAGCACTTGGGCCACTTGTGAGCCACAGCCCATCCTTGTCCCTGGAACCTCTGCAGGCCTCAGCCTGTCCCTGCTCTGACCAACTCAGACCCTGGTTGTCCYCTGAGGAGCCTGTCCTGCTGCGTGCAGGTGTGTCCTGAAAGCCCTCACTGTCAGGATCTCCTTCCTAGAATCCTGGCTCATGTGTGGCCCCTGTGGGCACCCTGTCCCCCCAGCATCCCTAGCCTCACTTCTGCATGGGCTGTCCAGGAGCATGAGGGACACCTCGCCACCTCTGAAAGGTGTGGGTGGACCACACTGTGGAAGGGCCTGGCAGGCAGCAAGGCCTTTCTCCAGCCTCCTGGTGGTGATGGAAGCTAGGAGTGATTCTTTTTCTGAGACAGGGTCTCATTTCTGAGCTGCTTGTTCGGGTCTTGACCTCCCAGGCTCAGGCAGTCCTCCATCTCAGCCTAGCGAGTACACCAGCAGGAGTGATCTTTGATGATGTGGGAAGCTCAGCACTGGCGCCATTCATCTGGAAGTAGAGGTGGGAGGGACCATGGAGGGCAGCAGTCTGGGAGCAGCTCTGCCATCACCACTGTGGTGTGGGATGGGAGCGGGTCTGTGGGCCTGGGGAGTGGAGGGGGTTCAGGGCCACTGCATAGGAAGACCTCCAAGTGTTGCAGTAGGTTCCACCTGGGGTCTGATGGAAGCCAAGGCTCACCGCACAGGTGGCAAGTCATGCAGGAAGCTAACCGTGCAGTCTTCCCTAACCCTTGCAGGAGCTGTCCAAGATCACAATGCCAATAGCCTTCAACGAGCCCCTGAGTTTCCTCCAGCGGATCACGGAGTACATGGAGCACGTGTACCTTATTCACAAGGCCGCCCTCCAGCCCCAGCCCCTGGAGAGGATGCAGGTGGGCAGTTGTGTATGGTGGGCACCACAGCAGTCTTGGTGCACATGACACCGTAGAGTCAGAGTCCTGGGCGTCCACGGGTGGGAGGTCCATGGAGGCCACGGCATTTGTTCTATAGCGTGTCTCCAGTGGCCCTTTGGCCCTGAGAGCTTCCTGGTGCCACCTTCTGGTGGAGGTGATGCTCATGAGTCCTTATAGCACCACTGCCCTACGTGTGCACGCACACGCGACTGTGTGGAGGTGTGTGTCTGTGCACGTGTGTGTGCATGGGCACAGGTGTGTGTGCTTGAGCGCTTGCAGGTACATCATGTGAGAGGCAGACTATGCCAGTGTCTGCAGGGAGCCCAGCTGTGGGGGTGCAGAACAGCACGGTCCTTGACGTGACTTTGAGGAAGTGAGGGGTGACAATGGCACTTCCCTGGAAGTTTTGTAACCGTGAAGAGTGTTTCTAGCAGAAGGTGAGCAGCCGCAGGCTGACAGAGTCCTGCCCTCCAGCTGAGTCGCTCTGACCTGCCATGTGTTGTCCGCAGTGTGTGGCTGCCTTTGCCGTCTCGGCCGTGGCTTCCCAGTGGGAGAGGACCGGCAAGCCATTCAACCCGCTCCTGGGAGAGACATATGAATTGGTCAGGTAAGAGGGGGCTGTAGAGGCTGGGGTCATGGCTCAGTGGTAGAGCGCTCGCCCAGCCTGTGTGAGGCACTGGGTTCGATTCTCGGCACCACATATAAGTAAATTAAATAAAGGTCCAGTGACAACTAAAAAAATACATTAAAAACAGTGTTGGGGGGGAACTGTCGTGAGTACTCAAGTTGGGCTCTTGGGTGACAAGCGAGCCGGGTTCTCTCCAGCATTGGTGTCTGGGCTCATGAGGAGCTGTTGGAGGGTTTGGGGTGCTGTGGGCAAGCTGTTTCACACCCAGAGTGCTATGGTGGCAAGGCAAGGCCCTGCCCTAGTGAGGCAAGACCAGGGCGAACCAGAGGGTCGTGTGCAGCGGGTTGTAGAAGAGCCTGTGCTGCCTGGTCCTGATGCGCGTGCTTGTGGAGAAGCGTGGATGAGTGCTAGCTTTCAACCTTGGCAAAACCAGGTACTAATGAGCAAACCAGGCCATTTTACAGCAGCGCTTTGGGGACACTGTTAGAAGAGAGAAAAATCCAAGCCAGACACAGTGGCACACACATGTGATTCGGTGACTTGGGAGGCTGAGGCAGGAGGACCACAAGTTCGAAGCCAGCCTGGACCACGTAGTAAGATAGTCTCAAAACAAAAGGAAAGGGCTGGGGGTGGTCCCTGGATACTGCACCCCGGTTCAGTCCCACGACTCGGGGGAAAGAGAGAGAGGTGAATCCAAAAGAGGGGTAACTGCGGAGGCGCTGTTCACGATGCAGCCCCCACTGACCACCACCGGCCACACGGGCCCTGGAGTGGCTGGGCATCCTGGCCAGGAGGGGTGCGGATGAGGCCTCGTCTGCGTGGGCTGAGACTCCTGCCTGGGGAGCTCCTTCTAGGCAGAGTCCCTGCCCTCCTGGGACCCTCCAGGTCGTGCTCCCTTTCACTCTTGCCCTTGTGCCTAGTGCAGACCAAGACTGGGCACAGGTCCTGGACTCCAGCCCAGAGGCTGGCTGGCCGGGCAGCTCTCCACACTGTGCAGCCTCAGGCTATGAGAAACCGTCCTGTGCCCTGTGAGAATGCCCACTCCGGGGCACTACCCAGGTGCGAGGCCATGCCAGAGCACTGTGCCCTCAGCCCAGCCGAGACGTGGGGCTGTTTGTTGTGTCCAGGGACCTTCTTCGTCTGCTGCCCCCAGGCACTGTGGGTGAGCGGGTGAGTGCCTGCCAGATGCTGAGGGGGAGGCTGAAAGAGGGAAGGGAGACTGACCTCTTTTCTGAGTTTGGTGCGCTTAGCAAGTGAGACTACCCTGGTGGGGGAGGACGTGGAGGACRGGGTGTCAGTCAGTCAGGCCGTTCTGTTGTAGCTGTTGGCCGCAGGGTGCCAGGCTGCGTGCAGGTGGTGCCGCCCAGAGCCCCAGTGCTAGTGGGGGCCCCTGTGTCCTGCTTTAGTTCTCTTTCCCATGGAAACGGAACCTGTTAAAGCAGTTAGCCTCCTATTTGGGGTGTGAGTTAATTGATGACCCTTTGGGATATTTTATTAAGTCTGTTTTTTAACTATATGAGCATACTCTTCCTAGAAAATGTGCAACTTTGAAAAAAAGTAGAAAATGTAAGTCAGATATAACTCCGTGAAAAACCATTGCTGAAACCATTTTGGTAGGTTTCCTTTGGTTTGTGAAGAGCTTTGCTCAGGCTGGGGCCAGTTGCCTGTCTGTGCCAGCACTGGCCTCGACCATCTGGGGGCCGGCCGACTGTCAACCCAGGCCCTCCTGAGCGTCTGCTGAGAGGCAGCAGCTATAGTTGGGAAGGCGTGTCGGAGACAGTGGTTGAGGCTCCGCTCTGCTCCCACCCCATTCTGGAGGGTTCAGCTTCGGCCTTCCCCTTGCTCTGCTGCTTTGGGGACTGTCGGAAGTTTGTGGGGGTTTTTTGGTTTGTTTGTTTGTTTTTAATATTCTTTTAGTTGTAGATGGATGCAATATCCTTATTTAGGTATGTATTTTTATGTGGTGCTGAGGATGACACCCAGCGTCTCACACGTGCCAGGTGAGCGCTCCACACTGAGCCCCAGCCCAGCCCCTGCCCCAGGAGCTTGTGGCTTGATCGGCTGTTGGCCAGTACTGAGTGCTGGAGCTGCTGCTGTCCAGGCCACACTGCCTCCAAGAGAGCGGAGCTGGTCAGAGAGCATGGTGATGCAGAGGCCCGCAGGGAGAGGCAGGACTGTCCTCCAGAGGCTGTCTGGTTCCTAGCAAGAGGGGCTGCGGGGAGGAGGGAAGGGCCGCCCGCCAGGTGCACGTATGGCATCTTTCCGTCTTGAAGTCATGGAGAGCAACTCCCTTTCTAGGTCCTCCTGAGCAGCCACGGCTAGTCGCTGGGCCTGCAAGCCCCCAGTCACGTGCTCAGGGCTGTGTTCCAGATGCTGGCGGTGTGGTCGCTGGAGTCATTAAAATGCCTCGGGCAGGGGAGCCAGAGAGGGAAGAGGTTGTGGACATGGAAAGAAGCTCTGGGTGAGAAGAACAGGGACAGGCGAGATGCAGCTCGCGGGGTCCAGCCTTCCGGGTGCCGTCTGGGTGGAGCTGGAGTTTCACAGCCTGAAAGCACCAGCTCTTCCAGGTCCCAGCACACGTGCCCCACTGGGCAGCGTCTCCCCCACGCCTCTGCCGGCCGAGCGGGCCGAGCAGCCCCGCTCGGCAGCAGTGCAGACCCGTCCTGCACCCGTGCTCACATCCCGCAGATCCCTCAGTGAGGCTAAAAATACACCTTCTTTTCTTAGACAAGTATTCATCTTGTAAATTACAGACTTTGGTAGGCAACCTTTTAAAACCTAATTTTTCACCTTTCCTTCCTCTGAAATGATTGGGAATTCTGATTCCAGATAACTTAGTAATTATGTGGTTTAGCTTTTATAATTTTTAATGACTACAACTGTAGGTGTATCCACAGTTCCGGAACAATTAAACACTGACATTTTTATTGAATAAGAGAGTCTGCTCAAAGCCCTGCTTCCTGGCCAAGAACATTTTGGGGTGCAAGACATTTCATCCCTGAAGTTCCAGGAACTTCATAAGGAGACCGGGCAGGATGCCCCTCCGGGGGCCACAGTCAGCCCTGGCTTTGCTGCAGTGGGGTCTGCAGGGCTGAAGCGAGTATTCTGGACCTTGCTGGCCTGCAGTGGGAGCAGCTGTGAGGCGCAGGCGTCCCCCGGGGACGAGCAGCAGGCGGGTGGCAGGCCTCCAACCAGCGCTTGCTCTGCAGACTGGCCAGGTGTGCTCAGGGGTGACACTCCGTGGCTGTCAGGCAGACTGTGCCTTCTGAGAAACACCTGTTTTGTGTTTCTGCTGCCTGTCACACACAGCCTGGGGGCTCCTAGTGCCCAGCACCTCCACCAGACCAGACTGGAGGTAGCAGGGCTGGACCTGCTGGGCAGTGGGATTGCAGGGCTCTGAGCCCGACAGGCGAGCTGTCCTTCTGTTGGGTTTGTTGTCACTAATGTGACTCTTTCCCTCTCTCTTCCTTTCCTTCCTCTCCTTATTTCTGAACCCAGGGAGGATTTAGGGTTCAGGTTTATATCTGAACAAGTCAGTCACCACCCTCCCATCAGCGCTTTCTATTCAGAAGGCCTCAGCCAGGACTTCGTGTTCCATGGCTCCATCTACCCGAAGCTGAAGTTCTGGGGCAAGAGTGTGGAGGCGGAGCCCCGGGGGACCATCACCCTGGAGCTTCTCAAGTGAGTAACAGGAGCAGGCGGCTGCTTCGCACTGGGACTTCCTTCCAGGGGGGTCCTTTCCCAGGATGGACAGCCTGCCCACGGGAGATGCTTCAGCAGTGTTTGTCGGGACTGTGCTGCRTCCCAGGACGATGGAGTCCACTGCCCTTTTCCACACCAGTGTGCTTCTCTCACTCCTAGTCTTGGTCCTCTCGTCCAGCCTGGCAGCCTGGACCAGCACAGCTCCTTACCTCACCTGTAGCACCTACCAGGCTGCACCTGAGCCAGCCCGGCCAGCGCCTGCTCCCAAGTTGGCAGGGACTTAGTTTCTGGTCAGGAACTCCTCCCAGGGCTGCCTAGGCGTGGCGCTGGCCTCTATCAGGGGGTCCTGGGGAGACAGCAGCCATGAAAGGCCCCTGTAGCCCCAGCCCCCGTGTGCCATGCGTCTCAACATAGACTGCGGCAGCCACTGCCTGTGCGCACAGGGGCGAGTGTGGCGGTGAGGACTGCTGGAGGGCCTGAGAGGTCTCCTGCCTCCATCTGGAAAGGACCCGGGAAAGGCCCTCCCTGGAAGGAAGTCACAGCGCAAAGCAGCTGCCCTCCTCTAGTCCAGCGCCCACCGAAGGTGCCAGAGGGCAGCAAGCCTCCAGCTCACCCTGGAGCTCGAGGCCCACTGCAGACAGGCCCTCCTTGGCGGCCAGTCCTCTGAGATGGTCTTGCTGACGGCAGCTGCTCCAAGCACGCGCCCAGTGCAGTTCCTGCCATTGGCCCACCTAGCTGCTTTCCATATCGTGCACTGAGGACCTGGAGGGGACTGACACCCACTGCCGCCCCCGGAATGTGGCCACCAGGCCCTGCAGGCAGTCCCTGTTGTAAATTTTGGCTGCCAGAGCTGCTTCATGTGTTGTTTTCTTTTGGGGGTGAGGTGCACAGAATTGAAAAGTGGCAGGCCCTTTGGGTCAGTGTGTTCAGGTCCCCCTAGAAGATTCCAGGGGCTCTGTGCAGGTGTGGTGCACTGTCCTGCCCTGAGCTGGTCTTGCCTCGTCAGCTCTTGGTTGCCGCTCTGTGCTGCAGCCGTCAGCCGCATCACACGTGGGGGTCTCTCCTGGGAAGGGCTGCTTGGGAGGAGGAAGAGTCAAAGGGAAGGAGTGGAGAGCGTGGACAGCATGCCCGCTCCCTGTGCCCCTGCCTGGCTGGGTGCCCCCCGCAGGCCGGGGGCTCCTCAGGACTGCATCACCGTGGCGTGTCTGTGAAGTGGTTCTCTGTTGACGACTTCACAGGAAAGCCGTTTCTCTTGTCTCAGTCTTCTTTTATTGCTTATTAACTTGTCTTGACATTTAAGTAGAAAGCTTTGTTGATGCTACAAAGGAAAGAAGAAATGAATCCCACCAGCACACTGAGCTTACGGGCCGCACGGCAGAGACTTCAAAGCCCTGGGCGGCTCTTGGCGGGCTTGGCGTCACGCTCTGGATGTCTGGCCTGGCGTTCGGGTCACACAGGCCCGTGCGTCGCTGACGCTCTCTTCTGTGTTTCAGGCATGGCGAAGCCTATACCTGGACCAATCCCACCTGCTGTGTGCACAATGTCATCATCGGGAAGCTGTGGATAGAGCAGTACGGGACAGTGGAGATCCTGAACCACAGGTGACGCCCAGGCCCTGCCCAGCCACCTTCCCGTCACTAAGGGCCCCGCCCTGGCTGGCTGGGTCGGTCCCGGCCAGTGCTGAGGTCAGGGCGAGTGTGCCACACTGGTTGAGTGGTTCATTTATTTGAGATTTTAAACTGAAGAGTGGTGTCATTATTGGGAAAAACGAGTGACCACCTGGCATCACCCAGCACCCAGGTTGTAGTACCTTATGCTGGGAACTCATGACTCATTGTTTTTAAGTATGAGATATAATTTCTAATCATAAGATTCACTAAGTTGAAATGAGCACTTGAGTGACATTTTAGTAGATTTACCGGATCACACAGTCCTCACCCCAAAGTTGTGGTATCTCTTTCTGTGCCTGGGGCTCCTGTGGCACCGATCGTCCTCGCGGCCCGGCCTCCGGCCCTGCTGTGTCGCAGGCTGGCCTTCAGGACTTCCCACGTCGTGAACGCCTGCCCTGCTTGTTCCCCACAGGACCGGCGACAAGTGTGTGCTGAACTTCAGGCCATGCGGACTGTTTGGCAAGGAGCTTCACAGAGTGGAAGGGCACATTCAAGACAAAAAGTAGGTCTGGGGGCTGGGACGCAGCTCGTGGGTGGAGCGCTTGCCTCGCACGCACAGGCCCTGGGCTCAGTCCGGCTCCTCAGAAAAAACAGTGAGCCTGCGAGGCTGGCGCTGTGACGTGAGTGGGCGCCAGTGGCCGCACGTGCCCCACCCAGGCGCCTGTCACAGCAGACGCTTTGTTCAGGAAGAGAAAATAAAGACAGTCTTTTTTTTTAGTTGTCCATGAACCTTTATTTCATTTATTTATTCATATGCGATGCTGAAACTCAAACCCAGTGCCTCCCGCGTGCCAGGCAGGTGCTCCACCACTGAGCCCCACCCAGCCCATATCAAGACCATCTTGGGAGCAGCTTCTGGTGACTGGAGAGTGGAGCCCATTCCCTTCCAGAAGGAAAAATATCCAGTTGGCCTGAGAAATGAGAGCTTTTTCTCAGGAGAGAAGTGCAGTTTTACGAGCAGAGCTGCGGTTCAGACTTTAACCCAGTGTCCCTTCCCTGCTGCAGCTGTGCCAGGCCCCAGGCGGATGGGTGGTAGCCTGTGTGGTGCTGTTGGCAAGGCCTGGTTCATTCCACTCTACCCCAGGGACTTCGACAAGTTTTTGCAAGCAGACAAATGGTTGGTGGTGTTRTGACAGATTTTTCATGATTTTTTAACCCACTCTGTGTTAATTTCTTTAGGTGTTGGATTTCAAATTTATCAGTTTTTTTTTTTAGCAAGGAATTAGGGCCATATAATGTCAAGAGATTACTTCTAGCTCCTAAACTCTAGTTTCCAACTTAAAACAGTAGTTTTGCTCCACCTTCTCCCGAGTACCAGAATTTACCTGTTTCACCTGCCTGTAAAATGCCGTCACACTGGAGACGGACAGTGTTTCCCCTGGCGCATGGCAGGACCCAGCACGTGGACTTTAGAGGACTGCGGCCCCGCGGGGGGCATCTTGGTGGCCAGCACTGCGGGCAGTCTCCTGTGGAGTTGCCTGAGGCTGCCGGGTCTGCGGGGCCGTGGGCTGCCAGGCTGGGGCTGGCACCTGTGGCGCTGAGCGTGTGCAGTGGGCCTGGCCCCAGGCTTTCCATCTGTGGGCTGGCTTCCTGTCGCTGTGGTGAAATACTTGAGGAAACCACTTGAACAGGAGATGATTTGGCTACTGATTTCAGGTTTTAGTCCATGGTTGCTTGACCCAGTTGCTTCTGGGCCTGTGGTGGAAGGCCCCAGCAGAGAAAAGCTGCGTAGCTCCTGGTGGCCAGGAGGTGGGAGAGGGGAGAGGAGACAGACACCCCCTTCAAGGACGTGCCCCAGTGACCTGCTTCCTCACCTCTGACAGTCTCCACACTGGCCAACAGCCCGTGAAACCATGATGTCATTGGTGGGTTAATCCCTTGATGGGGTGAGCGCCCTCATGATCCAGTGACCTCCTAAAGGCCCTCCCTCTGCACTGGGGACCAAGCCTTTGACACATGAGCTTTTTGGAGGCCTTTAGGATCCAAATCAGAAAGCCATCCTAAACCTGAGGACAGTTCCTCTAGAGATGGGAAGCTGTCTGAGGCTGGCTCTGCAGGGGCCCTGAGACTGGCCTGCTCTACTAGGGCATGGACTCAGCACAGCCAGCACATGCTCCTCCCAGGCACAGGAAAACGGGAAGGGTCCAGCATCGGAGAGCCCCCAGGGTTGTCATGAGGTGAGACTGACAGGCAGTGGCCACGGAGGAAGCAAGTGCTGTTGGTGTGGTCAATGGAAGGTCCACAAGCATGCGAACGTCCAGTGTGTTTGGAAAATGACTCTAGGGCTYGGGAATGTGGCTCAGCAGTAGGGCACTTACCTGACTTGTGTGAGGTCCTAGGTTCCATCCCCACAGCAAAAAGAAAGAGACAGGTACCTACAGCTCTGCCCTTGGAGCAGTGTGCGCCTCCTACAGCCTGAGGCCCCTTTAGCCTTCTGTGGCTTCCCCTCTTTTCTGCCTTGGTGCATCAGGGTCAGGAGGAGTCCTTCTCAAGTGACGTGAGCGGTGTCCTAAAAGTCCGTCTTCGTCTTTGCATTTATACCCAGTGGTGCCCCCAGTTTAGAGCACATGCCAGAAGGGGACGTTCCCCACGGGCAAAGGCAGGGAGCTGTGTTCGCAGAGTGGCTGCTGGCTGCCCTGACCAAGCTCCCAACCCTTTGCTACAGCAAAAAGAAGCTCTTCATGATCTACGGCAAGTGGACCGAGTGCTTGTGGGGCATCGACCCCAGTTCCTATGAGTCCTTCAAGAAGCAGGAGAAGAGAGGGGACCACCAYAGGAAGGCCAGGCTGGTGAGTGGCTCTCTGGGCAGACTCTGGGCGGGTGGAGCCTGTGGCAAGGGCCGTGCTGTTCCCTGGAGCTCTGGGGTCAGCCTCGCCCTCCGCTTGCCTGGGGGGGGGTTGTGGTGCCTTCCACACACTCGTCTCTCCGCAGCCAGGAGAGACGAGTGTGTGGAATCTGTTGAGATGCTTGTCTGTCTGGGCTCTGGGCAGTGGGGTCTCCTGTGTCCCGTGGTGTCACGGCTGCTCTCCTAAACCATGGCTTGCAGTTGCCTCCCTGGCTGGAGCAGCTGCTGGAACCTCATGCAAGCCCGTGTCTTTGGGAGCTCTGGGTTTAGGGTCCTGCTCAAGTACATCCCCTAGGCCTGTGTGAAAAGCCAAATGAGCCACGTGTCTGCTTCTCCCATCCTGGGAACCAGGTGATCTGTTCAGCAGTCAGAGTATTGCCAAGGATTTCCCAGAGCTTGGGAATTCAGTGATCTTAAGACAGGTTACTCCTGAGCTTCAAACCAGACCTGAGGGGCTGGGGCTAGGGCTCAGCCGTAGAGCGCTCACCTAGCATGTGCGAGGYGCTGGGTTTATCTCTGCAGGGCCAGCCACACTGGGCTCAGCACCACATAGAAATAAATAAATAAAATAAAGGTGTTGTGTCCAGCTGCAACAACAACAAAAAATAAATGCTTTAAAAAAAAAAAAAAAAACAGACATGGTAGTACAGAAGGGATGGTGTGTTTCCTAGATGTGAACCCATGTGCCCAACTCAAGATCTTCAGTGTTTATTTCACAAAAATGTTGAGCCTCCTCAGCCCCTTCCAAGAGTCCGAGTGTTTTCATGTTGATATTCATGCATGGTGCTACACACCTTTCTAATAACTCTCCTTCTTTCTTTTTTTTTTTTTAATATCTCCCGAATTCTTTTTTTAATATTTATTTTTTAGTAATAGGTGCACACAATATCTTTATTTTATATTTATGTGGTGCTGAGGATCGAACCCAGTGCCTCACGCATGTTAGGCAAGCGCTCTACCTCTGAGCCACAATCCCAGCTCCCCTAATAACTCTCTTTCATTAAAAAAAGAAAAGAAAAGAAAATTTCACATAAGTTTGGGCTGAGCACGGTGGTGCACATCTGTAGTCCTAGCAACTTGTGAAGCTGAAACAGGATTGCAAGTCCCAGGCCAGCCTCAGCAACTGAGACCCAGTCTCCGAAAAAGGGCTGGGATGTAGCTTGGTGTAGAGCACCCTGGTTCAGCCGGCTGTGTAGACTGGGAGTGGGAAGTCTTCTTGGTGGGTCATGGGGTGCTTTCACCAGCTTTGCACTTGCTCTGGGTGCCCTGGAATGGGAGTCTCCCGAGTGCTGACCACTGGGTGTAAGTGGGTCCACAGCTGCATCCAGTGACCACTGTCCTCTCCACCTAGGGCCCACGGCTCTGAAGACAGCGTAGCAGTGTCTCTCCCAGGAGGGATGGGCCCTGGGGCTCAACCTGGAGCTGCCCAGCCACCATGAGCTCAGCCTTGGGGAAGCTTCCTGCCTGAGGGCAGCAGCAGCACCCAGGGAAGCCCTGGCCCTGGTGTGGCAAGTCCCCTGCTAGGCAGGTGGCCCCCACGGGGTCTAGCTCCCACGCAGAGGAGGGCACAGCACACCTGCTGCCACCCTGCCTGTCTTCTCTGCAGGAGGAGGAAAGCCCAGTGAGCTGGCCTGCAGAGAGCAGGAGCCCGAGTCCTCGTCATAGGCTGGAGGGTGGGCGGAGTCACCAACTAGGGAGACAGTTTGACTTAAAAATATAGGGGCTGGGGTGGCTCAGCCGGAGAGCACTTGCCTCGCACATGTGAGGCACTGGGTTTGATCCTCACCACCACATAAAAATAAGTAAACAAAATAAAGGTATTGTGTCCATTTACAACTAAAAAAAAATTTAAATCATTTATATATATATATATGTATATATATATATATATTTTTTTTTTTAAAACTGGAAATTGAATCCAGGGGTGCTCTATCATTGAGCTACACCTCCAACCCTGTTTTCATTTTATTTTGAAATAGGGTCTTGCTGAGTTGCTGGGACTGGTCTCACACTTGTGATCCTCCTGCCTCAGCCTCCTTAGTAGTTGGGAGTATAGACATGCATCATGATGCCCAGCTTGATTTTCTTCTTAGTTAAAAAAGAAAAGAAAAAAATTGACCCTTGTTTCTCCTGGGGGCTTGGGAACAGGTCTCAAGTGTCTGGGAGGTTCTTCTGAGGGGTCCTGTGTTGCAGGACGTCGGACCTGAGATCGCCAGCGAGGTGGCTGGGGACGCAGCTGATGACGTGCCCATGGCCCAGGAGACCGTGTCAGTCATTCCCGGCAGCAGGCTGCTCTGGAGGGTCAACAGCCGGCCCCCCAACTCAGCCCAGGTCTGTGCCTTGTGCCTTGTAGCCTCCTCTAGGTCCAGCCTGCCCACTGCCTAGTCAGCTGCTGCCTCATCCTCCCCTGCCCAGCGTCCGTGCCTTCCTGYCTGGAGCTTCAGCTGGCTGTCCCTGGGTCAGGGAGGCCCTATCATACCACTGCACCATTTCCACAGCTGGCCTTCCCAGCGGCCACCCTAGCAGGTGCCCATGATGCAGCCACAGGGCCTCCCCACTGCAGAGCTCCCGAGAGACCTGGTATCTGGCGGCCTGGCAGCGCTGCATCTTCCCAACAGCTCATAGTGCGGCGGCTCCGGCTGCCCAGGCCAGTTCCTCCACCAAGCAGATGCCCCACCTGCCCTCTGAGGTCCGCAGTGACTGCCTTTCTTCAAAAAGGGGCTCCAGGGCTGGGCTGGGGCTCAGTGGTACAGAGCTTGCCGAGCGAGTGTGAGGCCCTGGCTCCCATCCTCAGCACCACATAAAAGTAAACGAATAAAACAAAGGTATTGTGTCCACCTACAGCTAAGAGAAAAGGGGGGGCTGCCGGGCCGGGGATAGAGCTCAGTTGGTAGAGTGCTGGCCTCACATGCACAAGGCCCTGGGTTCTGTCCCTAGCACCCCCCACGCACACGGAGGGCAGGGATCCAAGCTTCTCTGTAGAGTCTGTTTTGCTGACCCGTCTTTGAGACAGAGTCTCGCTGTGTGGCTTAGGCTGGCCTTGAATCCCTGGCTGTAGGGACCTCTGTCCCAGCTCCTGGCAGCTGCAGTGCAGGTGTGCACCACCAGGTGCAGTCCCTCACCTGTGCAGATGCTCAGGGCACTGTGGTGTTTACCCTTGAAAACCTCACTTAGGATTTATTCTGTAATAAACCACACTGCTTCATATAACAAGCCAAAAAACACATAACACACTATGTTACTTCATATCTATTATAAATTATATAGGCATGAAGTCTGTGTGCTTTTTAGCGACTTCTGTGGGGGTATTGTGGCCTGCACACATAACAGGGTGTGTAAAATAAGAAAAGGGAGACCGGGGCCGCAGCCTGGTGGCAGGGTGCTGGCAGAGCAGCGCAGGCCCCCAGTGCAATCTCCAGCTCTGTAGACAGGACGGGGAGCACAGCCCCTCTCCACAGGCACCGCTGCTGGGCTGGGCGGGATGGCCAGCTCAGCAGCACTGTTTTCAGTGATATTTTAGAGAAATAGTTTGTTTCAGAGGGAAATTCTTTAAGAATAATAATTGGTGCACCTGTAATCTCAGCAACTTGGGAGGCTGAGGCAGGAGGATCACAAGTTCCAGGCCAGCCTCTTTTTTTTGTTTGTTTGGTATTGTGGATCGAACCAGGGCCTCATGCATGCAAAGCAGGCACTCTACCACTGAGCTATATCCTCAGCCCCAAGAACAACACTCAGTCCCTCATCCTTTGTTCAGTGGTGCTGGTCGGGTGCCTCCTGCCTGCCAGTGGGCTCAGGGTTCTGGGARCAGACTTAAGAAGAACAGTCTGGTGGCGGGCAGTGGGCACTTGGCTGGGAACCACGTGGCCCATTAGAAGTACCAGGGAAACACAGGGCACAGCAGAGAGGCTGCAGGAGGGAGGCAGAGGGGATGGCCAGGAGCAGGGTGTGCAAGAGGGCCACAGGCCCGGGGCCCGTGTGGGCAGAATGCAGGGGATTCTGACCACCCTAGCTTTTGCTGAGTGACGTGGGCACCCTGGGAGTTGTTTCAGAGGGGATTCGCATTCCTGTGGCCCTCGAGCCATTTGCTGGATGTGACAGGAAGAGAAGAGGAGGCCAGGAGGGAACCAGGAGCCAACCCGGAGGGGCGAGTGCAGGGGTGCAGTGCGTGCAGTGGACGGCAATCTGGCCTCTGCTGAGCAGAGCTTGTGGTTGTCGACACACCGTTGTCCATGCTGGGAGTCAGCCTGCGGCCCTGGGCATGGGTGGTCACAGGGTGGCGGGCCTCGGGGTGCGGGCTGGCAGGACATTTTAGAGAGCGGGTGCTGTGTGGCTGCTGGCAGCGGGTCCAGAGTGCCTGTGGCTCTGACCGACTGTGGCGCTGACCGCGTGCCGCCGCGCTCCCACAGATGTACAACTTCACCAGCTTCACTGTGAGCCTCAACGAGCTGGAGTCCGGCATGGAGAAGACCCTGCCACCCACAGATTGCCGCCTGCGCCCCGACATCCGCGGCATGGAGAACGGCAACATGGGTATGTGCTGGCTGGGCTCACGGTGCCGGTGTGGGTGGACGCGGGGTGGTCTGAGTTCATTCCGTGTCCACGCAGGCCGCCCGCATGGTCCGTCTGTGCTCTTCCCTCAGCTGAGCCTTGACGGGGAGCCCCCGAGCGGCCCCTGCCACCCCCTCGCTGTGCCGGGCAGGCCTCAGGTTTCCACCTGACCCCACGCTTGCTCCCTGCCCCCCAGTGCAGGCCGGGTGACAGCAGGACCCCCAGGGGGACACCTGTCCAGCGGGCTCCTGGGCTTTGCTGTCATCCTGGTGCTTCAGCAGAGGACCCACCCCATGAGGGTGCTGCGGGGGCCACTTCCATCCCTGTCTAGAGCAGGCAGCCATGCCCTGGGCTCAGGATGTGCACGCTTTGTGGGGGCTGATGGCCTCCAGCACCTGCTCTCCTGCTTGGGCTTGGGTGGCTCTGTGTTCCGTTCCCCACACACTGTAACAGGCGGGCGGGCGGAGGCAGCCACCTGGGAGGGGTCCCCCCAAGGCCGGGCAGAAGGTTCTGGCATCTTCAGGAAGGTTTGAGCCAGCCTAACCCTTAGCCAGATCCGTTTGCTTGGACTAGATCTGGCCAGCCAGGAGAAGGAGCGGCTGGAAGAGAAGCAGAGGGAGGCCCGCAAGGAGCGTGCCAAAGAAGAGGCCGAGTGGCGGACCAGGTGAGGGGGCCGGAGGAGGGCCCGCACACTCCTGGGGCCCTCGGCCCTGTACGCCTGGTGGTGAGCTGTAGTGATTCCATGGCGCTTAAAGGCAGTGACCCCACCCCCCTGACTGTGCTGGTCTCGACACGTAGGTGAGGGCCTGAGCCCCTGGGTGGCGTGGYGCACCAACCTGTAGTCACCCACTGGGGCAGGCTGTGTACGAAGGCCAGGTCACCTCAGACCTGGGCCTGGCTGACCTGCTTCATAGCCTCACACAGCACTCTTGTCAAATGTGGCCAATTTAAGGATAAAACGTAGCTCAAACTCGGCCACTCACTGAAGCAAAAGGGTCCGTGAGGGTTGGTGACGCTCTGCATTGGCACCCATGGCAAGGCTGGCAGAGGCCACGCCCCACTGTGGCCTGCAGCTCAGCTCCAGACCAAAGCCCAGGTCCTTCGGAGAGCTGTGGACATGAGGCACGCAGCCTGCCGCGGCCCCTCTGCTGTGCTGACTGGGTGGAGCCCAGGGATCTTGTGCACAGGGTACAGAGAGCTGTCACCTTGCTTCCTCCTGTGGTGGTCCTGGCATGAATGGGGCCTGTCCCCTGAGGACTCAGGTGCATGGTGACTGAGCACAGGGAGACTAAGCACAGTGCGTGTGGAAGTCTCAGTCCTTGCAGACACCCTTGGACCTGGGAGCAGGTACTTCTCACCAGGCTTCTTGTTTTCTGGGACAGGGGCTCCCTGGGTGGCCAGCCTCCACCTCCCCAGGACCTTGGCCACAGGCGCCACCACTGGGTGCCATTCTTTTTTCCTTTCTTTTCAGTATGGGGGCCTGGGCGTTCTACTACTGAGCTGTATCCCTAGACCTTAATTTTTAAAATTCTAAGACAGGGTTTCCCTAAGTTGCTGAGCCTGGCCTGGAACTTGCATCTTCCTGCCTCAGGCCTCTGGTAGCAGGGATGACAGGTGTGGCCACTGAGCCCACAGGCTTCCTTCTTTGTGGTCTTTGTTTTCAAGGCCCCTTAACAATGAGGTTGGGGTTTTTGAAGCCCATTCTTGATGCTGAGGCATCCAATTTAGTTTACTGTCTTTATTTTTGAATTTGCCTTGCTCCAGGAAAGAACAATTGAACGCAGCCCTCCTTTCTTGTTTTTTTTTTTTTTTAAAGAGAGAGGAGAGAGAGAGAGAGAGAGAGAGAATTTTTATTATTTATTTTTTAGTTCTCGGCGGACACAACATCTTTGTTGGTATGTGGTGCTGAGGATCGAACCCGGGCCGCACGCATGCCAGGCGAGCGCGCTACCGCTTGAGCCACATCCCCAGCCCCTCCTTTCTTGTTTTTAAGAATATGAAAACCTTTGTTGTGAGAATAACGGTGACTTTGTCCTTGGAACACAGCACCCTGTATTCCGTGAGCTCGCCCTGCCTGTGTGGCAGACACGCTAGCCCAAGGCCAGGGGCTGTGACTGCGGAGCACCACCTCTCTGCTCCAGGGCCACTCTCTGAGGGTGGCCTGCTGGGGAGGGCTTTAAGTGAGGTAGATCCTGGTGGTTTTGTTGGGGAACTCAGTGGCAGGTGCTTCCCTGAGCCATGTTTCTCAAGTCCCCTGGGCTGCGGTCGGGGGCAGAGGTGGCGGCCGGGCCCTGCGACCACCTCGCTGTGCTCCACAGGTGGTTCCGCCCGGGCGACAACCCCCACACGGGCACTCCCGACTGGCTCTACGCAGGGGACTACTTCGAGCGGAACTTCTCGGACTGCCCCGACATCTACTGAGGGCCTGGAGGACCAGCCCAGAGGCCTGCACGCCGGACCCCGAGTGGCKCTCTGAGCATTGCCCCGGCAGAGCCCAGCTTCTCTGGCCAAGGTGGTGGAGGTGACCTCATCCCTGACCAAGGATCTGACCCACTTGGCTGTGGCAGTTCCTCACAGAGCGCCACCCGAGGCCTCAGAAGGAAACCCTGCCTTCCCATCGGGGGACCGAGTGAGGCTGGCTGGGCTTGCCGCGCTCGCTCGGTCACAACATCCATCGGTAGCTAAAGGGGGGGGTGTGCTCCTCTGAAAAGAGGGGCAGGTGGATCTTGAAAGCCACCAGGAGGCCGGGGACTGCCATCAGGATCACAGCAAGGGGGAGTGGAGGCTCCCCGCGTGGCCAGGCCAGTGACATGAAAGCTGTCAGAGTCTGTATTTTTTACCAATCTTGAGAAACGTAAAGATTAATTTTAAAATATTTAAGTCAAAGCTACTTGAATGGTGTTTTGCTGAAAAGCAGAAATGCGCTCCTCTCCCCGTTTGGACCGTCCCAACGAGCCTCTGAGCCGAGGCGGCCAGGGGTGCTGCTGTGAGGCTGAGCTCCTCTGGCCACCGTGCTCCCGAGGCCCGGCGGGCACCGTGCCCTCACCCACACCTCTGAGGGCTCGTTCCTCACCACCTCCCCGTGCCCACAGCAGTCTCGTGTCCCCGTGTTCCCAGCATGCATGTTGCAGTGTAAGTGAGTCGCATTGGGTTGTGCCTGAGGGTTAGAGGCAGGACCTGCTTTCCTGTGTCATTAAAGTCCTTTAACCACAGTAGGTGTGTCCATCTCCACATCCCTCTGTCAGGGACAGTTCCTTCATGTGGAAGTGTCGGCACCATGGGTCACAAGGAGCTCTTTGCTGTGTGTGCACACGCCCCTGCACGGTACACACCTGGCCATGCATGAGTGCAGGTCACGGAGTCAGGCCCTCTGAGCAGAGGTGGCGCCCCGTGTGCCCAGGCTTCAGAGACACCTTTGCTATTAAAACTCTTTTAAAAGCCAACGCGGGTTTGGAAGCTTGGTCTGTAGCTCTGGAAACTGGGAGTGCGGGTGTTGTGTCCTCCCCATCACCCTCTGGGGCCTTGTGCACACAAGGCCACGCTCCGGCCTTGGGCCCCGTCTGTGGAGCTCCCCTTCGGAGCCCAGCAGAGCTACTTGGTGACTTCAGGTGCATCCAGAGCACAGTGGCCTTGACCACATTCCAGGAGAGGAGTCCAGATTGCTGGGTGCCTAGAACAGGGCACCCTGGGTGCCTCTRGTGGAGGCTGCTTGCTTTTCCAGGCCATGGTCATGCCTGGGCTCAGAAAGCCAAGAAGGTGGAGGGGTACTGCTCTGAGGCACGTTTGGATGACTGCCGTGAGAAGTCCCGCGGTACCTTACCAGGGCTCCGTCTCTTTCTTCCTGAGAGAACACTGCAGCCGGCTGCGCCTCCCAGCCCCTCCAAGGCCAGCTCTTGGCACTGCAGGGGCTCCTCAGCCACACGGACAACCCCACTCCCAGTCCCTTTGAGCATGTGCCTAAGTCAAAAGCCAGAGGGGAAAGGTAGGAAGGCGATAGGAAAGATAGCTGTGAACCGGGCATGGGGTCCCTGCCTGTCACCCCAGTGGCTCCGAGGCTGAGCGGGAGTTGCCCCCCAGCCTGGGCAACTTAGACCCTGTCTCAAAATTTAAAAAAAAATTAAAAAGGGCTGGGGATGTAGCTCAGTGGTAGAGCACCCCTGGGTCCAACCCCTAGGACTGCCCCAAACAAGACAGAGACAACTGTGTGCCAAGGCAATCAGTCATCGGTGGCACCTTCAAAACCACCATGCACACCCGTGGAATGCCCCGTCTCGTCTCGAGCTCCTCAGGACGTGGGAGATGTTTCTGGTCCCCCTCGGCCTGGGAGTGCAGCCTTACGCAGCTGGCACCCTGAGAGCAGCTGGTGTCTCAGGCCCTCGGGGAAAGGGGACAGACTCCCCCTGCAGCCCTCAAGGCCTGAGGTGCTCCTGACCGAAAAGCCGGAATTCAGTGACGAGTGCACAGGCTCAGGCACATGGAGATCTGTTTTGTTTTTGTGATGCTGGGAATTGAACCCAGGGGTGCTTTACCACAGACCTACACCCCTAGGGTCTCGCTAAGTTGGCCTCCAACTTGCAACCCTCCTGCCTCAGCCTCCCAGGTAGGTGGGTTTCCAGGTACATGCCCCCGCCTGACAGGAGAGATCTTTAACGGACGGGTGGCGTCTGAGGTGTCAGCCACACTACCTCCACTCTGGCACGTCTCCAGGTGGAGTCGGGAGCAGGTGACACCAGCACCCGCATCCTCCTGCCAGGTGTCCTCTGGTCATGAGAAGGCTCAGAGGAGCAGGCCTGGTCCCTGGTGGCACCCAGCATCTGGCCTCTTTAGGTTGCCACCAGGACCGGCCCCTCCAGAATGCTGCTGTTCCCTAGAGGGAGCGTAAGCGCTTCTGCCACCAGCACCAGCGAGATCTGGCCGCTGCCGGACACAGTGCTCTGGAAGCCACCCGGCAGGCCTGTGTGCTCCCACAGCTCTCCACGTGGAGTGGGAGCCAGCCGGGCCTGGAGGGCGCTCCGCGGTCTCCCCACCCTGTTCTGTCGGGCCGTATCCACAGCTGCTGGTAGGCTTCTGCAAGCCAGCTGAGATCTCCGAGAGGGACGCTGGGGACAGCGGTCCTGCCCAGGGTCTGCTCTCAGGACAGCTCTCCTGGCAGACGCTCGGGAAGGCAGGACGCCCAGGCTGTTAAGTGCTCAGCGTCCTCGTCACTGCTGTGCATGGCTGGCCCTCACCAACACCTCGTCCTGCCCACGGGGTAGGAAAATGTCAGGCAGAGGGGACGTGGCAAAACGGATTGTCTTTATGGTCTTCAGGAGCTGCCGGCCCCCACGTTGGCGGGGTCGGTGGCGCCGTCGATACCCACCTGTGTTAACAGGCTCCGTCATTCTTGGTGTGTTTTTTGAGGACTTTGGGCAGATCCGTGAATATAAATGTCAGCTTCCAGTCCTGAAATGTTAGCTTCTAGTCTGAAAATGGGCCGCAGCTGACATTTACTTGACGGGAACCGTGTCTCACCGTCTCTGCGCCCTGGCCTTTCTGAAGGGGGCTACAGATGGCTACCGGCAAGTCCTCGTGCCCGAGTCAGGTGTTTGGACCACGTGCTCCTTGGGAGCGTCAGCAGGTGGATTGTCTCTCAAAGCTGCTTATCGTGGAGGGGTGGGGGCACTCGCCACTCCTGTTGGGCGACGAAGGGTCCAGGCTCTGGGGGGCGGCAGCCTTGATTGTGCCTCTGGGGCCCAGAGGCTGCTGCCAGCTGTGTGGACGCCTGGAACGTGGATCCGCTGGCTGCAGAGTTCTGCTGCCTGGCTCTGCTCCAGGAGGTGAGCCAAGTGGGGCAGCTGTCCACCGGTGGCCGGGCTCTGGAGGCTTTGCTCTCAGGACACACTTGCTGTGTCTTGCTGTCCTCGCAGAGCATGTCACTGCCCTCAGCAGGCCATTAGGGTTTCACGCCCCAGCTGCCCCCAGTCTGACCTGTGGCGAGCCCCACGGGGCCCTTGGTCTCAGGCCTTGCCAGCCCTGGCCCCCCAGGATGGCTTTGGTCCCAGGGGTTCTTCCCTGCCACAGTCCAGCTGCGGGATGGCACATCTGGCTTGCCGTGAGCATGTGGGCTGGCAGGGTGTCCTGCCACGCCTCACGCACCTTGATGCATATGTGGGGAGTTTTGCACTTGGGGCAGTTGTGGAAAAGGTCACCTCAGGCATTTGTGTGCAGGTGTTAGTGTAGACCCCTGTTTTCATTTCTCTGGGGAAATACCCAGGCGGCACGAGCTGGGACACGTGGGCCTTGGATGTTTCACCACGAACAGCACAGCACTGCCGCCGTGTCAGAGGTGCACAGGAGGCAGCAGTCACGGCCAGTCACAGATGGCCTCAGGGAAGGACTCCACACACCTGGCTGAGGCCATGTGGAGACCCACCACACCAGCGCTGACAGGAAGTGGAGGGTGGCTCTCAGCTGAGCCAGCAAGAGTGCAAAGTGTCCTGCAGCTTTGGAAGATCCCAGCCAGCTCCTTAGGAAACCCGACGTGCTCCTGCCACAGAATCCAGGCTGGTGTCACCCACGAACATGTGACGCCTGCGCAGAGATGCTTACAGGGCTTCATGATCATTGCAAAAGCTCAGAGCAACCAGGACACCCTCAGCAGGAGACCCAGATGGCGGGGTGCTGGTCCGTGCTAAGAGACGCACCTCCAAGCCACGAGCAACATGGAGGAAGCCATACGCATGTCTTTGGGAGAAGCCAGCAAGAAAAGGCCACACTGTCTGATTCCAACTATGTGGCATTCCAGAAAAGACACAACCACGGAAACCTGGGGCACTGGGCACAGCGGCCACTCCCGTCATCCCAGGGACCCGAGAGGCGAGCTAGGAGGAGGCACGTCCTAGGCCAGCCTGGGCAACCTAGCGAGGCCCTGGCTGGTAATAAGAAGGGCCGAGGATGTAGCTCAGCTTGCCTAGYGCACCTGAGGCCTGGTTCAACCCCTAGTACCACCAATACGTGAAAAGTATTGAGTGAGTGCTCAGGGGAGGGACTGAGGAGGCGGTGGACTCGGTGCGAGACTTAGCGGTGCAAGACTTAGCCGTGGGAGCACGCTGTTATAAAGTGTCAGAACCCCTGGAAGGTGCAAGCTGCCAGGCTTCCATGTGTCCCTCCAAAATTCATGTATTAGAGCTTAATGACCAATGTGATGGGATTGAGGAGAGGGCCCCTCCCGTGTGGCAGGGAATGAGGCCCTGAGGGAGGAGACAGCTCTTGTGCCTGCCCCATGTGGAGGTGCAGTGTTCCTCCCCTCCAGAGGGCTCTGCCACCAGGGTCATCTAGGAAGCAGAGAGCCGCCTCCAGACATGGAACCCTTGGACTTCCAGCCTCCGGAACTGCTGGAAGCGAGTTTCTGTTCCATGTACCTCTGTCTGGGGCATTGCTACAGTAGCATAAACTAAAGGTGAACATGATGTAAATATGGATGTGGGCGATGGCCCCATGTCCCAGGGAGGTGTCGGTGTGACAGAGTGCTGAGCTGGGGAGGTGGCAGTGTGGGGAGGGGCAGTGGGGACTGTCTGCGCTTTCTGCTGAGTTCTGCGGGGAGCCTACAATTGCTCTAGGAACTCAAGTCTGCTAATAAAAGTGTTAAGAAAAAGCCCACACCTGCCAAGGTGTCTCCCAGGTCCCGCTGGGGGT